AACCCGGGCCCACCAAACAACAATGATGGCTGCAACCAAAAAATAGCCGGGCGTTGTGGTGGGCACCTGTGGTCCCAGCTACTTGAGAGGTGGAGGCACGAGACTCGCTTGAGCCCAGGAGTTGGAGGTTGCTGTGAGCTGTGATGCCACAGCACTCTACCGAGGGGGACAGCTTGAGGCTTTCTCTCAAAAAAAAAAAAAGAAAAGAAAAAAAAGAAGCGTTGGTTAATTCCTAGGACGGTCTCGGTGACCACTAAGATCCTGTCCAATTTTAAGATGCCCTGCCTCTGGTGAACATTACTGAAGCCAGTGCAGGCGTCCTGCGTTGTTATGTGAACTCCTGGCTCATGGTGAGCAGCAGCAGCTGTGGTCACCAGTGCCCATTTGAGGACCCACGTTACGCAGCTGGGGCCCAAGGTGACCGCACCATCCCTCACAGGAAGGCTGCCTAATGGGGAGCCTCTGGGCCTCCTTCTGCCCACTAGACACTCACCTAGACGTAGCATAGCCTGGGACTGTGGGAAGCAAGGGTAAAACATTCCTAAAATACCTGAACCTTGCATTTTCCTTACGTCTGGGACCACATGGACCCACAGAGGCGGCAGGGGCAGCAGAGTCCAGGCAACAGGCCTCTGCTGACAGGCCGATGGAAGCCAAGGCCAGCGTTCCCCTGCTCCCCCACTGGCCTGTTTGCTTTGGAGCCTGGCCCCGCCTGCGGCAGTGCTCAGCCCAAGGAATTCCATACTTCCCACCACTTCAGCCCTGTCCTTTCCAAGAAACAGCTAGCCACTGACACGCTGGATGTAGTTTTTCATGATGGTCCAAGAGGAAACACCCCATGGCTCTCAGGGAGAAAAAGCTTCATCAAAGGGTCTCCAGTTCCCAAACCTCCTTACGCTCCTTCAGATGCATTTGCCCATCCAGATATCCCACTTCTGTTTCCACGATGTGTGTCTGGGAATAGGGGACAGTGGTCATTTGCTGGACGTGGAAACCTGGTTCATTTGGGTGACTTGCTGAGCATCCTCTTGGCTACGTTGCCAGTCCTGCTGGGAAGAAAGAGGAGAGCATTTAGGTGGAAGCTGCTTGGAGGTGGGAGCACCAGATCGTGCCAGCCGGGCACAGGCTTAACGTCTGGTGTGTCAACTATGTTTGCGGTTCTGCAGGGAAGGAGAGTCTGGGTGGGGCACTTTCTTGTCCAAATAAGCCCTGAGCGTGTTCCTTTTACTTCCCCAGGCAGCTGGGAGTGGTGGTCTGTGGTGTCTGTGCCCTTTTGTCTCCAGGGCAGTCTGTGTCTGGGAGAGGAGAGGTTTCCTCTCTTGCCAGTAACCTCCCAACCAGGAGGATGGTCCCTGGCCTTGGCATCAATAGATGCCCATCTGATCTTAGGCATCATATACTAACCTAGAATTTAACAGTTTTCTGCTGGAGGAAGCTGGAGGGGTTGAAGCCCAGAAAATGCTGATAGCAGAACACAGTGGTTGCGGGGCAGGGGAGGGCAAAAGGCAGCTGATGTCTAGCAGGGGTGCATGCGGGGACAGAGAACTGTGAGTGACCTGCAGATCATTCCAGGCCTAGTGATTGTGGGGGAAAGGGGGATGTGAGACCCAAGAGGGAGACAGCAGAGGGAGCAAAGAGTAGGTCCAGGGGATCCTATGCACAGGCCCGTGAGCACCCCTGAGTTCAGCCCTACTCGGCAGAAAAGACTGGAGAATAAGCAAGAACTAAGGAAAATATTGCCCAGGGCAATCGAGAGCCCAGAGTGAATGGGCTATAGAGTGAAAGTTCTGAGATGTAGAGTAAAAGTTCTGAGAACTTGCTAGACAATGCAGGGTAGAGGCTGCAGAAGAAAGGTTAGGCACAGAGCAGGTGTGGCCAGCTGAGCTGGAGCCTGGGAGGGAGCTGAGAGTCCCAGAAGGAGCAGGGACCTTGCTGTAGAGGTCATGGGAGGGCAGCCAGGTCTGAGGCAGGTGGGAAGCAAGGCTGGGGGAAGTGTCTGGTGGGCACAGCAGTCAGGCACAAGGGGAGCCCTCAGAGGGCAAGTGTGCAGGTCAGTGCTGGTGGGAGGAGCGAGGGCGTGAGAAGTGTTGTGGATTCCCATGGTGCAGGGATTTGTTTGAAAGGGGAAAGAAGAGCCAGGTAGAGTATGGGTGGATGCTGGGGAGGGCGCAGAGCATAGAGGTGGGGTAGACTTTGGGGTGGTGGTGGTGGGCTGTGTGGGTTTGGAGGCAGGGCAGGAGCCAGCCACCCTCTGCCCCACCCACCTTCGAGCCTCAGTTTCCCTGAGGTGAGGACAAGACTTCCCTGGGGAGATGGCTTGGGACCCAGTGTCAGAGCCCCGGAAACACCCTTTCAAAACATCCTGGCCTCTGTTTCAGGATCGCTGGGGACACAGCCCTCAACAAGAACATCCACGAATCTGTCAGCGCCCAGATCCGGAAGAACTTCGCAAAAAGCAAATGGAGAGTAAGTGTCCCATGTGAAATTTCAGGTCTCACCACTCCCGTGAAACTCGGCTCCTTCTGCTATTTGAGTGTTCCTTATTTCTGAAGGTTGCTGTGGCCCAAGTTGAACAATGTTCCCCAGAACCTCAGCTGAATGATTTTGATCATTTTAACCAATAGTAATGAGGACTTAGAGAGTCATGTGAGAGGATAGAGCAAGTGATTACACATTTCCCCTCTATGACGCAAAAACAGCCATTAATTTGCTATTTCTTAAGAGACATATTCCTGGGCAGTGCCTGTGGCTCAGTGAGTAGGGTGCCAGCCCCATATACCAAGGGTGGCGGGTTCCACCTCGGCCCCAGCCAAACTGCAACAACAACAACAACAACAAAAAATAGCTGGGCATTGTGGCAGGCGTGTAGTCCCAGCTACTCAGGAGTCTAAGGCAAGAGAATCACCTAAGCCCATGAGCTGTGACACCACGGCATTCTACCCAGGGTGGCAAAGTAAGACTCTGTCTCAAAAAAAAGAAAGAAAAAAGAAACATAATTCCTTTTATTTTCACATTGCTAGAACTTTGAATAGTTGACTTTTATGAAAGTAATATAAAGGGAGGAAATCTCTAAGAAATCTGAGTTGAACTCATCAGTATTTTTTAGGAAAATAATTGGCAGATTTAAACCATAGAAGTTTCATGATCATCTGTGGATTATCCAAACTCTTATGTTCTAATCAGCCTAGGTAATTAGGAGCCTGCTGTTTGGTCCTGAGATCTAACAATGAGAGAGACATTGTTTACATTAATTTTGTAAGAAACAAAATTAATTCCACAGGCCTGCTTTATTCAAAGGAAACTATGCTATTTAGGACAAAAGTACCCAGCAATAGGAAAATAAAAACTACCTTAAAATGTCAAGGGCAGGCTCGGCGCCTATAGCTCAGCCGGCTAAGGCGCCAGCCACGTACACCTAAGGTGGCGGGTTCG